GAGGAGCACAAGTACGACAGGGATGATCCATTGAGAGAATAATACATGAACTTAGAGGATGAAGTGAAAAAATAGTGTTGGATAAAGCAGCATTATGCACCATCATCACCTTAACCAACCAGAACGACCCTCCCACACACACAACCACAAACATATACACACAACCACAAAAACACACGACCTGACGACACTGAAGGATAAGATGGACAGGGAGGACATGATAACGACATATAAAATACTGTGAGGAATCGACAAAGTGGACAGAGACAGGATGTTCCAGAGATGGGATACAGCAACAAGAGGTCACAATTGGAAGTTGAAAACTCAGATGAGTCACAGGGATGTTAGGAAGCATTTCTTCAGTCATAGAGTTGTCAGGAAGTGGAATAGTCTAGAAACTGAGGTAGTGGAGGCAGGTACCAAACATAGCTTTAACAAGAGGTATGATAAAGCTCATGGAGCAGGGAGAGAGAGGACCTAGTGGCGACCAGTGAAGAGGCGGGGCCAGAAGTTATGACTCCATCCCTGCAACCACAATTAGGTGAGTACACAACCAAACACACACACACACACACACACACAGTGCAAGCATAACGAAGATAGGCTTCCCAGCATATTTTGCTCCAATGTTATGGCACTTTAATGTATTACAAAAATTTCTTCCTGGGGTGAGTTAGCTCGAGACATAACGTTCTCCAATGTTAACTTATCATCTACTTTTACCTTCTTCAAGTCTCTGTCTGTTAATCAAGTGTAATTAAATACTTTCCATTCTGTCAAGGTAAACACCGAAGTGTCGAGGACGGAAGCATGATTTTATTGTCTCAGTATTCGTCTCATCACTTAAGGAGTTATCGTTTACAACTGCTGTACATTGGTAATCATTCAATATTTGTTTAGCCTTCGACAATTAACAATTCTTTGGGATGTTAGCAGCTGGACGAAGCTTTAAAATGTGTGTGTGTGTGTGTGTGTACTCACCTAATTGTGGTTGCAGGGGTCGAGACTCAGCTCCTGTGTGTGTGTGTGTGTGTGTGTGTGTATACTCACCAATATGTAATTGCAGGGGTCGATTCACAACTCCTGGCCCCGCCTCTTTGTAGTATGTGTGAGTAAACTCTAAGCATATTCATTTCCACCAAAAAAAAAGGTAGGCGAAATCTTACAAAATTCCTATTTCCTTGTCTTCTCGGGTTTGTAGGAGTGGCATATACCTGAGCGTAATGTAGTCCTGAGCTCGAAAAGGCGATGGTCAGTGTGATCGCTTGGTGCTATTTTTGTGTCACTTGCTTGCCAGTCCCCCCAGTCCCTCCCAACTTCCACATTGGTGTTGGAGCTAACTGACCTGGTACGTTGCTTGCCGCTCACCTTCAGACGCGCTCCGGTGGGTGCTTCACACGGTGGTGTTCTGGTGGTAGTGCAGTGAAGCGTGTCGTAAGTTCTATCTCGCATTAGTAGCCCCGTCTGGGCAAACTTGTGATCGATTCTGAATTCTCTTTCTCGCATTTCGTTACACGCTGACTTCTACACAATGAGTTATTGCTTGTCAGCAACTGAATCTGGAAATAAGAAAAAGATTTACGAATTTAAAATCAAAGGGTGCCTAATATTTGTTTCAGGTATATTACAGATAAATTTTGATAGTGATTTTGTGAATGTATATAAATCTTCGAGTGGAACAGAATCTGAGACACTATCCCAGATGGTCATATATACACCGAGAGGCGTGTGTCTCAGTGTACATATGCTGACTTTACTTCAGTACATGTTTTAGTATTTAGAGTATACATGACTGACATCGTAGAATTTATTGAAAGACCGGTGCTGTTGATGACTAAGACACATGTGCAACAGTTGAGTATTTTTAAGATACCCAACTGTAGCACATGTGTCTTACTCATCCAAGACAGGTGTTATTATAACCTCTAGCAGTCGAGGTACCTAAATCAGAGCGAAGAAGTCTTCCGGTGTATATCTGTTTGCGAGAACATGTTGAAGATAAGTTAATAAATACCATGGCTGGAATAGTTTACGACTAACCCACAATTCGAAAACGAAGGCAATGCTTCGGTCTCCTAGACTATGATTATCTCGCGAAATATTAGCCCGGTATATCCCGAAGAGTCTACTTAGTACCATTCCACTTACAGCTTGTGAGTTAGTTGTAAACAAATCGTACGTTAGTTGACGCAGTAATTGATAAACCGTTTTTATTTTCACAGCTCATAGTTACGCGTCTGTGAAGGCTCGTAGCTTGAGGAAGATTCCAGAGAACACAGAGCAGGCTACACCTGTATATAATAAGCTATCATTCAATTACCAGCAACTTTGAGACTAAGCCTATAAGCCTAATTTAGAAATATAAACAGCATAATCCCACTGTTGGATGATGATATAAACTAGCTTTAATTTAGTATGGCAATGTCAAAATTTTCTAATTATCATTTACGTATACATGTATTAGGTTTTTGCTTCAAAATTCTAAGGGAAGCAGCTACCCCACTTTTGTCGTGTCCTCCTCCTCCCATAATCAGAGACAACGGCAACCATGCCATAATATTTGTTCAAGACAGTTATGCGTGTGACAATGTTTGTCCAGGACATAGCTATACTTTCGAGACATTCTAGTATTATCCATTATTTGTTTACGATTACCTACACAATGGTATCTTCTGATACGTCTACTTCACATGATCCACAAATCTTCCACTGCAATTAAGATAAAAGAATGAAAACGACTCGTTAGCTAAGCATTAGATTTAATTAACCTCTTAATAGAAGACTTAGCTAACGAGTCGTCTAAATTGTTATGTACTCGAATTAGTTCATACGTAGATTTGTGTAATGTAAGTAGTAAATATGTACATAAAAGAGCGCTGGATAATGCTAAAAGAAAATGGATATATTAGATGCTAAAACAATTATTCTCAATATTGGTATCAAAATAAATATACAGAAATAACTTTTACGTAAAGGCAGTTTTTTGTAAAGTTTTGTTTTGGTAAGTTAATACATCGAGCAAACTGGAAAAAAAAACTATATTTGGAAGTAAACAAATAATGTAGAGATGGATAAATTGAAAAGCAGGTTAATCAGATGTCTGGTCTTGATTTGCACATTAAATCTGAGTGATGCTGCTCATCAGTAGCTTCCATACATAAACGTTTCTTCTCTACTTACAGGAAATCTCGAAAGAACTTTCTCGAAGTTTAAGACCTACTTCGACAACTTTAGGCACCCACCACCAACATGCCCGGCCACGTGAAGAAGAGCACGGGTCCCGACCCAGACCCCACCGAGTTTTTGTTCATCTCGATGGAGATGAAGATGAAGGATGCTACAAAACCTTACGACGCTAAGAAATCCTGCTGGATCCCTGATCCCAAAGAGGGCTTCATTGAGGGTGAGATCTCAGGCACCAAGGGGGACCTTATCTCCGTTTATGCAAGCGGTGAGACCAAACACTGGAAGAAGGATCAGGTGGGTCAGGTCAACCCACCTAAGTATGAAAAATGCGAGGACATGTCCAACTTGACCTACCTTAACGACGCCTCCGTCCTCTACAACTTGAAGTCCCGTTACGTCGCTAGGCTCATCTACACCTACTCTGGTCTCTTCTGTATCGCCATCAACCCCTACAAGCGCTACCCCATCTACACCAACCGTGTGGTCAAGATCTACCAGGGCAAGAGGCGTAATGAGGTGCCTCCCCATCTCTTTGCCATTTCTGACGGTGCTTATGTAAACATGATTCAAGGTGAGAATTCCATTTGTTTCAATGGCACTTCAACATATACGAAGATATCTGAATTTAAAGGGTCATAAAAACATCGATTCAAGGTGAGATATCTTTCGGATAGAACTATGAAGCTCATTTGCTGAATATAGCCACAGACTGTCTTCAGCAGATGTTGAAGGTTCTGATGAGGATAGTCACAGACTGTATCTTCAGAAGATGGAGATCTTCTGAAGAGGGCCTGTGACTGACGTCGAAATATACAAATCTCTTGAATCTGTGTTTTATATTTGTGTTGGAGTGATTTATCTATTTCCAAACGAAGAAAAATTTGATATGTAACAGTTGTGCGCCTGATGATATTTCACGCATCACAAAATTATTTGACATTAAATCATTACCCAAAAATTGGTCTAAAAGAGTTTACTTCTTGCAGATGGTGAAAATCAGTCTATGCTTATCACGTAAGTAAAAACAATTTACCAATAACGTGTAAACTTTTATAGTTCAAGTTTATTTTTATATTCTAGATAGACATTTTCACAACTATATTAACTGTTATATTAACTGACTATATTAACTGTATTATATTAAATATAATTAACTGTAAACATATACAGTTTGTCATAATCGATTTATCAAATTTAGATGTATTTCGTAATTTAATTTTTTTCTTATGTAACTAGAGTTACATCTTCGATCAGCTAAAAAAAAAAATTGTCCCCACAGTGGTGAGTCTGGTGCTGGTAAGACTGAGAACACCAAGAAGGTGCTCTCCTACTTCGCCAACGTCGGCGCCACCACCAAGAAGAAAGGCGAAGATAAGAAGCAGGTAAGAAGCCACGCTCACCTGGATTTTCCGAATATATATTTACTCATCAATACACTGATATACAAATTATAGAAGGTAACATTTGTGAAGGGATTTAGGGAAACCAGTTAGCCGAACTTGAGTCCTAGAGGTCGAGATGCTTGCAACTTAAAGGTGTGACAATCTTGCTATTTGGAGGGTCTTTGGGACAATGATGTCAACACTCCTCCGGCAAGACACAGACTAAATGAATGAAGATGAAAAGAGAATTTTCTCATTCTTTGTTCGGTCACTATACCTGGGTGAGAGACGGCAAGACTTAAAAAAAAAAACTGCATTTTAACAAATGAACTTGTCCAACTCAAAGTTATAAACACGCTTTCCGTCGTGCAACTGCTTTAACAGTTAAAGATTTTATCAAAATACACACACACACACACACACACACACAATATATATATATATATATATATATATATATATATATATATATATATATATATATATATATATATATAAATATATATATATATATATATATATATATATATATATATATATATATATATATATATATATATATATATATATATATATATATATATATAATACTATATAGTATATATATTGTCTAGGTCAAGAGCTCCTCACCAACATCAAGGAACCTTCCTTGAGGGGCACAAATGAGAAACTACTTGTCTGGCATACAAATGCTTAACTACAAATATATGCACACGTACTAAAAAGAAATCACTCGTGTAGATTCGGGACCACACCCTTGAATAAGACAACGCTAATAAAGTGTTGTTTCGCCGTCAGAACCTGGAGGACCAGATCATCCAGACCAACCCTGTACTGGAGGCCTTCGGTAACGCCAAGACCACCCGTAACGACAACTCCTCCCGCTTCGTAAGTTTGTTCTTCTCTTGTTTACAACCTTTACACGGGGATGAAATATTCTTGCAGATAAGAAAATTCGTTTAATTGTTGTTGAATTGACTCGTGTTTGATGGAGTTGTCTCCCGCACACAGGGTAAGTTCATCCGTATCCACTTCCAACCCAACGGCAAGTTGTCTGGTGCTGACATTGAGGTCTACCTGCTGGAGAAGGCTCGTGTTATCTCCCAACAACCCGCCGAGCGTTCCTACCACATCTTCTACGAGATGATGTCCGACCAGATCCAAACGATCAAACGTAAGTTCTCCTCTTAGACATATGCAGTAATGCTTGTGCAAATTTTAAAATACCTTTAAATTTTCATTGGAGTTAGTAAATGACAACTTTCTAAATTCACACATTTTAAATAGTTCAGGTTTTCTTTCATTTACTTAATAACACAGACAGGAACAGACTCGACATCTTTAATAATCACAACATTAAATCGTGTTCCAAATTTTAGTCGAGGGTCAGTAAAATAATGGACGATGTAATTTAAAATTTTGATCTTTGAATTATTAAGTAAAATGCGCCACTGAGTGTATTTGTGACTTCTAACCAACAGTGACACTGATGTATACACACAAAATAAAACAGAATGCGATTAAATTGAAGAAGAAATGCATTTTAAAATTGTCTTCTAATGTGGTATTCCACACCTGGTGTCAAAACTGGTTATAAATGACCATAATTTTTAAAGGGGTGGACCGGTAAGCCAGCGGAAGGCCTCGGTCAGATGACCAAAAGCTCCAAAGGCGGGTCATCATCTGACTAAGACCCGCGTCAGGAAACATTTGTCCTGTTTCCTGACGAACCTTACCTAACCTAACCTCCACACCTGGTCATCTACACCCGTCAGTTTTGACACTAGGCTTAACACGGCGTCTCACTAAGAAATATATTAAAATTGTAGTTTTTCTACCTCATCTTTTGTTATTTGTCTCGGAGAGAAGTTTTTTTATGTTCTGAATTTTAATATAAAGTGAATATCATTCACATTAACACAGAACACAGAACACACACACACACACACACACACACACACACACACACACACACATGCCTTTGACAAAATGGTAACTAACACGCACACGTGTGTGTATATATATATATATATATATAATATATATATATATATATATATATATATATATATATATATATATATATATATATATATATATATATATATATATATATAAATAATGCGTCAAGAGGATATTGTTCCCGTAATATTTTGAATGATAATACCTCTTATCGTGATATTTTTGCTGATGATTTAAAGACAATGTTTTCTAACTTACAGCAATATGGGAGGAACAATTGTGTCTCCGCTGATGAAGCAGAGAAAACTACTGTTAAGTGAGTTGTGCTGTTACGTGGGACAGCTCTTACTATACATTGCTTTGAATATCGAAGAATTCTAAGACGGTTACTCGATATTCTGTCCCTTTTATTATTATTATTATTATTTTGCTTTACGCATTCAATTTTAAAATTGGTTAAAGTCCAAACCTGAGAGAATAATCAGCCGGACTTTGATTCTTCTGTTTATGAGAGATCGATAAGATCTTTCTATGTACATGAGCGGTTTGACTGACTTTTACCACCTATTAATGCTAACACGGAAGATAGCATATCACCATTCTTCATTTGGTACAAGGTATTCCCCAAAATAGAAACTCCAAGATTGCGAGAGAAAATATCAAAGAAAAATATTGAAAGTTTTGTAATAGCTACTCTCTCTCATCTGCAGCGTTGTGTAAGCTGAGTGACGACATCTATGACTACCATTACGTGTCTCAGGGCAAGGTTACTGTCCCCTCCATTGATGACGGCGAGGACATGCAGTTCTGTCACGTGAGTATCGTAAGACATGTAGTTCTATTACGTGAGTATTGTGGGAAATAGAGTTCTCTGCAATATTATTACTGAAAGACGTACATTTCTCTTACGTATAAATATAACATGATATTCTCACAAGAAAACAGAAAAAAAGAAGTTTAAAAAAACGGATCACAACACTGATCATCGTCTCTATTCATTACGTGTAGATTTATACATCAGTTTTGCGAAAAAAACAGACGTGTATCAGTGTTCTCGTGCTGTTGTTTACACTTCCGTCACCGTGTTGTAGCAGGCTTTTATTTACTTCAAGAACGTTACAATCATGATTTTATACAAAGAAATGTGTTCACATAAAGGCTGTTTCTCTTAAGCTTATGACTAGGTTGACTAATAATTTGATTATTATTTTCATTTCTAGGATGCCTTCGATATCCTTGGCTTCTCTAAGCAAGAAATCGACGAGGTTTACAAGATCACAGCCGCCGTCATGCACATGGGTGAGATGAAGTTCAAGCAGAGGGGTCGCGAGGAGCAGGCCGAGCCTGACGGCACTGAGGTAATTATTTGCTTTTAACTATATATATACGATAAAGACTCGGCAAGCAGTATGGAAATCTAATTTAACGTAAAGTTTCGTTTGGAAATCAAGTTTTTATTAAGTACATGTATTCGAAAAAGGTTGGTTTCCAAGCAAAACATCTTCTGAAGTATAATTTCCAGACTGCTAACTGCGGTTTTTATTCCGGTTTGCCGGTATTTCTATCTTAATTGCGTATATTGTGCCTACTGTTTACTGTCATCTGAAGCAGCAGCATTCATAATTGTTGAATAATTTTTCTAAAATTTGCTATATTACTTATGATTAGAAAGGTGAAGTTGTTGCTAGTCTCCTTGGAGTTGAGGGAGCAGACTTGTACAAGAATATTACCAAGCCCAAGATCAAGGTCGGTGCTGAGTTCGTATCCAAGGGCATGAACGTGGATCAGTGCTACTACTCCGTCGGTGCCCTGGCCAAGGGTCTCTTCGATCGTCTCTTTAAGTACCTGGTGACTAAATGTAACATCACCCTTGAAACTGGTATGAAGCGTGCTTCATTTATTGGTGTGCTCGACATTGCCGGCTTCGAGATCTTTGACGTGAGTGATATATTTTGAGTTTCATGAATGATATATGATATCCCTTAATAAATATTTAATCATACTAGTGTTTATTAAATATTTATATGAAATATGAATTAATAATATAATAAATAGTATTTTTCGTGTCTTAACTGTGATAATAATTAAATTTAGCTAGCCTACACTTTTTTTTTCATTTCTGTATATAATGTGAATTTTTTCTTCTTAAAACAGTACAACGGCTTTGAGCAGATCTGCATCAACTTCTGTAACGAGAAGCTGCAGCAGTTCTTCAACCATCACATGTTTGTGCTGGAGCAGGAAGAGTACAAGAGGGAAGGTATTGACTGGGTCTTCGTGGACTTCGGTATGGATCTGGCGGCTTGCATCGAACTTTTCGAGAAGGTAAGTTTATTGTTTCCCAAGTCTTTTTATGTATTGAAATATTAACTTTACCTTTGAGCTCTATGCTCATATATATTTTTATTGAAATATATTTATAGGATGTTCATATGTGATACATAATATTCAACGTTTATTAAAAGCCTAAATTTAATTGGCGCTGTTAAATAGGTTTGTTGTTAAGAAGCATCTTATAGCAATTTGCTTTTGAGTTAATTATTTTTCAAACCATATTTAACACAGACATCAAGATGAATTAATTAAAATAAATAAATAGCCACATGTGCAAAATCTGAGGGACTGCTGGGTACTATTACTACGGGTACTATTACTACGGCTACTATTACTACGGCTACTATTACTACGGCTACTATTACTACGACTACTGTTACTACGACTACTATTACTACGACTTCTGTTACTACGGCTACTATTACTACGGCTACTGTTACTACGACTACTATTACTACGGCTACTATTACTACGGCTACTATTACTACGGCCACTATTACTACGGCTACTATTACTACGACTACTATTACTACGACTACTGTTACTACGACTACTGTTACTACGGCTACTGTTACTACGACTACTGTTACTACGGCTACTATTACTACGGCTACTATTACTACGACTACTGTTACTACGGCTACTGTTACTACGACTACTATTACTACGACTACTATTACTACGGCTACTATTACTACGGCTACTATTACTACGACTACTATTACTACGGCTACTATTACTACGACTACTATTACTACGGCTACTGTTACTACGGCTACTGTTACTACGACTATTACTACGGCTACTATTACTACGGCTACTATTACTACGACTACTATTACTACGGCTACTGTTACTACGACTACTATTACTACGGCTACTATTACTACGGCTACTATTACTACGGCTACTATTACTACGGCTACTATTACTACGGCTACTATTACTACGGCTACTATTACTACGACTACTATTACTACGGCTACTATTACTACGGCTACTATTACTACGACTACTGTTACTACGGCTACTATTACTACGGCTACTATTACTACGACTACTGTTACTACCGCTACTATTACTACGGCTACTATTACTACGACTACTATTACTACGGCTACTATTACTACGGCTACTATTACTACGGCTACTATTACTACGGCTACTATTACTACGACTACTGTTACTACGGCTACTATTACTACGGCTACTATTACTACGACTACTGTTACTACGGCTACTATTACTACGGCTACTATTACTACGACTACTGTTACTACGGCTACTGTTACTACGGCTACTATTACTACGGCTACTATTACTACGACTACTATTACTACGGCTACTATTACTACGACTACTGTTACTACGGCTACTATTACTACGGCTACTATTACTACGGCTACTATTACTACGGCTACTATTACTACGGCTACTATTACTACGGCTACTATTACTACGACTACTGTTACTACGGCTACTATTACTACGACTACTGTTACTACGGCTACTATTACTACGGCTACTATTACTACAGCTACTATTACTACGGCTACTATTACTACGGCTACTATTACTACGGCTACTATTACTACGGCTACTATTACTACGGCTACTATTACTACGGCTACTATTACTACGGCTACTATTACTACGGCTACTGTTACTACGGCTACTATTACTACGGCTACTATTACTACGACTACTATTACTACGGCTACTATTACTACGAGTAATTACTACGGCTACTATTACTACGGCTACTATTACTACGGCTACTATTACTACGGCTACTATTACTACGGCTACTATTACTACGACTACTATTACTACGGCTACTATTACTACGGCTACTATTACTACGGCTACTATTACTACGGCTACTATTACTACGACTACTGTTACTACGGCTACTGTTACTATGGCTACTATTACTACGGCTACTGTTACTACGGCTACTATTACTACGACTACTATTACTACTGCTACTATTACTACGATCCTATTACTACGGCTACTATTACTACGGCTACTATTACTACGACTACTATTACTACGGCTACTATTACTACGGCTACTATTACTACGACTACTGTTACTACGGCTACTGTTACTATGGCTACTATTACTACGGCTACTGTTACTACGGCTACTATTACTACGGCTACTATTACTACGAGTACTGTTACTACGGCTACTATTACTACGGCTACTATTACTACTGCTTCAGCTACTATTTAAATATATAAATGAAGTATAATTCAATCCTTTATTAACGTTTCGCTCACACATTGGGATTTATCAAGTAATAAATTGTGCGTGTCTAATCAGACTTTTTTGTATCTTGATAATTGCCAACTGTGTGCGCGAAACGTTGTTAATAGGAAAACATTATACTTGCATTTGTCTCTTATTCCATAGTGTCGGTATTTTATACCATTTGTCTCCACTACTAATACAATTATTACTACTATTACTAACCATACCAATCGTGTCATTACGATTTCTTGAGTCAAGTTACTATTACTACTAATAATAATCTACAGGACTGACTAATATATCTGACTTTCCACAGAAAATGGGTCTGCTCTCCATCCTAGAGGAGGAGTCTATGTTCCCCAAGGCTACTGACAAGTCCTTCCAGGATAAGTTGAACGCTAACCATCTAGGCAAGTCTCCAGTGTTCATCAAGCCCAAGCCACCCAAGCCCGGGCAGTCTGAGTCCCATTTCGCCATCGTTCACTACGCTGGTACCGTGAACTACAACTTGAGTGGCTGGCTGGAGAAGAACAAAGATCCCCTCAACGATACAGTCGTCGACCAGCTCAAGAAGTCCTCAAACGAAATCATCGTGTTCCTCTTCCTTGACCATCCTGGACAGTCTGGCCCAGCTGACACTGGAAAGGGTGGTAAGTAATAATTTTAAATTTGTATTGTCCACTTATTATAAATCCTGCCTCAGTTCCTCTTCACGTTATTTCTAAAAGCAAATGCCTGCATAAAAAAAATATAGAATACTGAAACTTAATATTTTATACTTTTATTACAAGTCTCGTGAAATGTAAATTAATAATCACTTTCTTCCTCCACAGAGTTTGTGCTTCGTCTCATAGCTTGAAGGCAGACACACTCAAGATGCTCCTAGTCTTTTTTTTAAACAAAACTAGGCTATCAACTTAACGGCTCCAAAACTGTTTTCATCAACTAATGACAACAAATTCCTTTGGATAGTCCATTGATGTGAAAATTTGATTGTGTATTACAGGTGTATAATAATCTGCATTTTATATAAAGATTTTTACTTTATCTTCACCGCAATATATTCTTCTTTACTCAGGTGGTCGCGGTGCCAAGTCTGGTGCATTCAAGACTGTGTCTTCTTCATATAGGGTATGTATAATGTGATTTGTATAATTTATAAGAAGAAACCTATCACCTGAAACTGAAATAATCAGACATTTTGTAATAGCTTCAAATTATGCATATATAATGAGTAAGTCACTTAGAATAAGACAAATATTGGATATTTAATTAAGTGGTTCATGAGTAAAATGCAATGAACACTTGTCACTGTTCAGTAATAAGCAAAGTAGTTTATAATTAAGAGGTGTTACTTATGTCCTAGAAATAGTAATTAGTACGACCATCCACGGTGTAAGATACTGTCAGTAACTAGTACGACCATCCACGGTGTAAGATACTGTCAGTAACTAATACGACCATCCACGGTGTAAGATACTGTCTCACTGATGCTGTCACATCCATTAACACCTCAATGTTTTCTCTCACAGGAGCAGTTAAATAACCTAATGAAGACCCTCAACTCCACTCACCCTCACTTCATCCGTTGTATCGTCCCCAACGAGACAAAGTCCCCAGGTGTGTTTGGATTACATAGATATTCTCATTAATATCGTTCATATTTACTGTAATTTTGCGAAACCTGTCGTAGTTCCAGGTTAATAATTGTTTGAGTTCTAAATCATAACCTAAGATTCTAAGATGCTGTGTAATGTCTCCCCACTCAGGTGTGACTGACGCCGGTCTGATCATGCACCAGCTTACTTGTAACGGTGTACTTGAGGGCATCAGGATCTGTCGTAAAGGCTTCCCGAACAGGATGCAGTACCCCGACTTCAGGCATCGGTTAGTTTTTTAACGACTTTCCTGATTAAATTTCCAATATAAACAAATGGAGATACATAAAAAAACACGGAACGAGTGAGGTCTAAAATTCCATGCATAGGGACCAATCACAGTTTACTCCGACGTAAAATATTCATAAACTTTACTGGTGACTATTATAATTTGTAGTTTATTAGTGACTCTTTGTGTCCAGCGTTTAGAAAGACACGTGAGCAAGCACTAGAACATATTTGTTAGAAAACGTTTCGGTCTTGCGATCTTGATCACTTCTCCGCCAATATATATACTGTCTTTTTAACTTCTGCTAGAAGTGATCAAGGTCCCAGAATTGAAACGTTTTCTAGTATTTCCTCACGTATCTTTCTAAACCAACATGTGCGAATCAATTACCAAGGTTTATACCATGTGTGTTATTCATCAGAAGGTAATGGACAGTGTACTTTAATCGTAATTTTGATAGTACCAATATGCTCGCAGCTACAAGATCCTGGCTTCCACGGAGATGGCCACACTCAGTGATAATAAGAAGGCCGCCCAGGCTTGCTTCGACAAGTCTGGTTTAGATCCAGAGCTCTACCGTCTTGGTAACACTAAGGTAATTCTTAGCATTATCCTTTATCTCACTATAGTATTTTTTTTCTATTGTTGGATTAACTAACAGCACTACATTTAAGAACCTTCTTAAGTAATATATATTAAATAACAGAAATTCTGTATCCTTTGTTACTACGCTAGTAAAGCTACTGTAAAATTGCGGCTCAATACCGTGACTGGAATAATACACAAATAACCCGCACATAGGAGAGAGGAGCTTACGACGACGTTTCGGTCAGACTTGAACCATTTACAAAGTCACACAGTGCAACTGCAAATGGTCCAAGTCGGACGGAAACGTCATCGTACGCTCCTCTTTCTTATGTGCGCGTTATGTGTGTATTTACTTCATGTTTTCTTGTAATGATATTTAGAATTACTGATAACTACTTAAATTTGAATAATTGCAATGTCATAACGAAGTTTACATTAAAATCTATAATCAGTCAGATGGTTTTTTGAGTATGATGGATATTCATTGAGCACATGGCGTATACAGGTGTTCTTCCGCGCTGGTGTTCTGGGTACTTTAGAGGAGATTCGTGATGCACGCCTCAGCAAGATCATCACCTGGCTGCAGTCATGGGTACGTGGCTTCAACGGCCGAAAGGAATACGGAAGACTGCAGGAGCAGCGCGTAGCCCTTGTTGTCGTCCAGCGCAACTTGAGGAAGTTCTTGGCCATGCAGTCCTGGGTCTGGTTCAATCTCTGGCAGAAAGTTAAGCCTCTTCTTCATGTTACTCGCATTGAGGACGTGATTTTCGCTCTTAAGGATCGAGCAACTAAAGCTCAAGAAAATTTGGATAATGAACTTAAACTACGTCAAGAACTTGAAGCATCCAATGCTGCTCTTCAAGAGGAAAAGAACAATCTCCTTTCTAGTCTTGAGTCCAGTAAAGGCAGCATGACTGAATACCTCGAACAGCAAGCTAAAATACAGAGTCAGAAAGTCGAACTCGAAGCTCAGCTTTCTGTAAGTTATCTTTTTAAGGTTCAAAATAAGGTTAAATGCAGTTATATATTCACTTTCATTCATGAATAATTCACTTTCTTCTATGAGTAATATTTCTAAATATCACGCGTTCAAGTGTATCTTCGTTCATTTGTATGTGCGTGCTTTTGTTTCAGTATAATTTTCATTTCATATTAATACACACTTTTTTGTACTTATCTATAGGACATCACAAACCGCCTACAAAAGGAGGAAGAAGCTCGTACTGCACTTGCTCAAGACAAGAAGAAGACTGAACTGGAAGTGAACACTCTGAGGAGAGACTTCGAAGACTTTGAGTTAAGTATTCAGAAGCTGGAGCAAGAGAAAGCTGGCAAGGATCACCAAATTCACAACCTTAATGAGGAAATTGCTCATCAAGAAGAACTTATTAATAAGGTAAACAAAGAAAAGAAGCAACTTCAAGAATACAACCAGAAGCTCGCTGAAGACCTTCAGGGCGTTGAGGACAAGTGCAACCATTTCAACAAAATGAAAACAAAGCTTGAACAGACCCTTGACGAACTTGAGGACTCTGTCGAACGCGAGAAGAAGTTGCGTGGTGAGGTTGAGAAATCAAAGAAGAAGGTTGAAGGTGATCTTAAACTGGCTCAAGAAGCCGTCGCTGACCTGGAGCGTAATCACCGAGAAGTAGAAAACGCAATTCAGCGTAAAGACAAAGAGATCTCTGGTCTTGCCAACAAAGTGGAGGAAGAACAAGGCCTTGTTTCTAAGGTCCAGAGACATGTCAAGGAACTTCAGTCCCGCATCGAAGAGCTGGAACAAGAGGTTGAACATGAGCGCCAAGCTCGTGCGAAGGCTGAGAAGGGTAAAGCTAGCTTGTCTCGAGAGTTGAATGAGATTGGCGATCGTCTGGACGAGGCTGGAGGAGCTACATCCGCCCAAGTGGAGCTGAACAAGAAGCGCGATGCTGAGCTGGCCAAGCTCCGCCGTGACCTCGAGGAGACTAGCATCCAGCATGAGTCTGCTCTTAACCTCCTTCGCAAGAAGCATAATGATGCTGTTGCCGAAATGTCTGAGCAGATCGACCATCTCAACAAAGCGAAAGTCAGGTACGTATACACACCCAAATAAATAAATAATACACAGACTGCATACAATTTACCTCACAGTATTGTGAAATTTTAGTTTAAAATGGCAGACATTAATGGGTAAACATGAGATAATCCTTACCCTAAATTCAGAATGGGGCTTCTAATGAAACAGAAGAGGTTCATTATAGTCGACAGAGAAGTAAAATCCTTTGTTTACCTATGTAAAGTTCCAGCGTGACTTATATATATATATATATATATATATATATATATATATATATATATATATATATATATATATATATATATATATATATATATATATATATATATATATATATATATATTAGCGAGAAACAGAGGAAGCAACAAAGAGACTATAAAACAGAAGATATGTTCTGTATAAAGTAATTAAACAATATATATTGCACTTGAGTAAATGAAAATATTGGATGAAGGCTCCTCAGTATACATGTACTTATTAACTGTGTTTTCTTGTTGTGTTTTGCTCTACTACAGGACTGAAAAAGAGAAAGACGTTCTGAAGCGTATCGCAGATGAAGCAAAATCTGCAATGGACAGCCTTTCTCGGGATAAGGTAAGATTTACCAGCTTTCTCTGAAGATCTCTGAATTTTAACTGCAAAAATGGTAGTGTGGTTTTTTTTTCGAAATTAAGGTTGATCCGTATATACTGTAAAGAACAAAAAGGCACAATACAGTGACTGGAACAATATACAGATAACCTGGACACTGGAGGAGGGGCTTACGACGAAGTTTTGGCTCGACTTGAACCTTTTCCCTCTCTCCTATATATACTGGCTCCCTCACTCTTTTTCTGTCAGTGTGACTTTGTAAATGGTCCAAGTCGGACCGAAACGTCGTCGTAAGCTCCTATATGGGAGTTATTTGTGTATATACTGTCATTGCTTGTTGAAACTACCAATTTTATGTAGTGAATCTTTATACTATTTTTAGTGTTAATTAACAGTCAGTACAGCGTAACATTATGTGAGTCGTAATCATGAGATTCATATGCCTTTACATTCAGTGTTTTGTTTTGTACATGCAACTTGAAATACAATGCAAAATTTAATAATAACATTTCTCTTCTCAAGGCTGTTGCTGAAAAGGGCAACAAGCATCTTCAACAACAGATCAACGAGGCTCATGGAAGGCTTGAGGAGGCTAACCGCACTCTGAATGACTTCGATGTTACAAAGAAGAAGCTCGCAGTTGAGAACGCTGATTATCTGCGTCAGTTAGAAGAAGCTGATAACCAAATCAGTTTGTTGACTAAGCTGAAGGTGTCTCTTTCTACTCAGCTTGAAGATGCTAAAAAGTATGCAGAAGAAGAAAGCAAGGTAGGTCTTCTAAAACTGTATAGCACAAATAATATTAATGCTAAATTGTATGCAGAGGAAAAAAACAAGGTAGGGATTCGAAATCTATAGTACAAATAATATTTAATGCCAAATTGTCCCTAAAATATTTGTGATATATTAGGTATTTATGTTGTAATTTGTTTCTCAGGAGCGCTCAATTATCCTTGGAAAGTATCGTAACTTGGAGCACGACATTGATGGTCTTCGCGAACAGCTAGATGAGGAGGGAGAGGGTAAAGCAGACAGCCATCGCCAGTTATCTAAGGCCAGCGCTGAGGCTCAATTGTGGCGTGCCAAGTATGAGTCTGAAGGAGTTGCCCGGGCTGAGGAGCTGGAGGCTGCTCGCCTTAAACTTGCTGCTCGCCTCGAGGAAGCAGAAAACCAGATTGAGCATCTGAATCAAAAGAATATTTCTCTTGATAAAGCTAAGCAGCGCATTACTGCTGAACTTGAGGAAGTGCAGATCGCTGCTGAACGTGCTCAGAACCTTGCTATTTCTGCAGAAAAGAAGCAGAAACAATTTGATCGCATTATCAGTGAATGGAAGGTAAAGGTGGACGACCTTGCAGTCGAACTGGATTCATCGCAGAAAGAGTGCCGCAACTATTCTTCAGAGCTATTCCGGGTTAAGTCTGCTTACGAAGAAAACCTAGGAAGCCTGGATTCCGTCCGCCGTGAGAACAAAACCCTTGCTGACGAAATCAAAGATCTGATGGAGCAGATTAGCGAGAGCGGTCGATCCTATCATGAACTGGAGAAAACTGGCAAGCGCCTAGAGATCGAGAAAGAAGAACTTCAAGCCGCGCTCGAAGAGGCCGAGGCTGCTCTTGAACAAGAAGAGAACAAGGTCCTCCGTAGCCAACTGGAACTCAGTCAGGTTAGACAAGAAATCGATAAACGTATCCAAGAGAAAGAAGAGGAATTCGACAATATTCGGTAAGTTGTTTATTATAAATATATGAACAACAATAACATTCAGTACATTTGTATTAGCATGTGTTGCTTATCAGACATTGCACGTAGATTCTATATTTCTTATATTTCAGAAAAGTTCATGTGCGTGCCATAGAAACGATGCAGTCTTCTCTTGAGGCTGAAGCTAAGGGCAAAGCAGAAGCCCTTCGTCAGAAGAAGAAGCTCGAGACTGACATTAGCGAGCTTGAAGTTGCACTGGAACACTCCAGCAAGAACAACGCCGACCTTCAAAAATATATCAAGAAGATTCAGGTTGATGCAAAGGACCTACAAGTGCGTGCTGAGGAAGAACAGCGTTTGGCTTCAGAGTACCGTGAGCAATACAGCGCTGCCGATCGCAGAGCTAAATCCCTGAATGGTGAGCTGGAGGAATCCCGCACACTTCTGGAGCAGTCTGACCGTGGTCGTCGCCAGGCTGAGTCCGAGCTCAGTGATGCTAATGAACAGTTGGGCAGCTTGGCAGCCCAGAACAATTCTCTTGCCATCTCTAAGAGGAAGCTGGAGGGCGAATTGGCAACACTTCACGTAAGTCTAAATAACGTACTAATATAATATAAATTATTTAGTGACCATATATATATATATATATATATATATATATATATATATATATATATATATATATATATATATATAATATATATATATATATATATATATATATATATATATATATATATATATATATATATATAATATATATATATATATATATATTACATACACACACACACACATACAAATTAGCTTGTAATGGAGTGATCGGGATTCGAATTCGCTGTTTGGCGGTCTTTGAAATACCAGGTAAACTTGAGTCCTGGGTCACAGAACAGTTGGGGCTTGATGGTGGGAAGGTGAGTGGTAAAACTTGCAGGCCAGTGCCTAACCTCTTTATATATAGGTGAGGATGTTCTTCAGAGGGTCATTTGAGTTGTGATAACCCTGAGCTTCTAGCAAGACTGCTACTGAGTGATGGTGAATATGTTTCGTTATACAGATCATTTTAACGTGTTGAGAAACGGCTGATGTGTTCGTTAAGCACCATAGCCACGGTTTTTATGAGCTGCTTGATTGTACTCTCCTAGCTGTACTAGTAAGCGCTGCAAACAAGGACTCGAGCCTTCACCTGATGCACCTACAATCATTATTTTGTGTGCCTCTGTAAATGTTAATTGCCATGCCAACAAGTAAACTCCAATAAAATTTATGCATTTCTTACCTATTTCAGTCTGATATCGACGAGATGCTGAACGAGGCTAGGAACTCCGAGGACAAGGCTAAGAAGGCCATGGTTGACGCCGCCCGCCTTGCTGACGAACTCCGCGCTGAGCAGGAACACGGCCAGACCCAAGAGAAGTTGCGCAAGAGCTTCGAAGCTTCTATTAAGGATCTTCAAGTTCGCCTTGAAGAAAGTGAAGGCAGTGCCGTCAAGACCGGCAGGAAAACTCTGTCTAAACTTGAAAGCCGTGTCCGTGAACTGGAGGTACAACTGGACGACGAGTCTCGCCGTCACGCTGATGCCCAGAAGAATCTGAGGAAGTGTGAGAGGCGCATCAAGGAGCTCACCTTCCAGTCCGACGAAGACAAGAAGAACCACGAGAGGATGCAGGACCTTGTTGACAAGCTGCAACAGAAGATCAAGACCTACAAGCGCCAGATCGAGGAGGCTGAGGAGATTGCTGCTCTGAACTTGGCCAAGTTCCGCAAGACACAACAAGAACTTGAGCAAGTCGCGGGCAGTGCATAAATACTTGACGTCCATTAAACCAAATACAAGGGCATTTGTTATACTACAACTGAATGGGAAGATATTCCAATCCAGTCGATACATATCTTTTTTTTTAACATAGTTGTTTAGTCCAGTTTACCTATGATTATTTCATAGGTAAATGATATACTTGTTGAAACACTAACAACAGCAGGAATTAAAATATTATATTAAAGTGATTGAGTTAAGTTTTAAGATATCTTATGCCCATAATTCAAATTTTAACTCATATTCACATTGTATAATTAAAGAATTTAATACAGGTAAACTTTAATAAAGTTTAAGAAAAAGCATTTGTTTTATTGGCATGAAAATTTAACTCATTTTGATAATGTGAAAGTCAGTGTCCAATGTGAAACTATCTCAACTCCGAGAAACTTGCATAAAGTTACCTTTATTAACGAAACAAGAAACATTGTTAAGTTCATATTTTATGGTCCACACCAACATTTTTGCTTGATTAACATTATTTACTTTAATACACCACATTCGAGTGTTGTTAAACATCACAACACACAAGTGTTGTCAAACATCATCACAACACATTCCAGTGTTGTCAAACATCATCACAACACATTCCAGTGTTGTCAAACATCATCACAACACATTCCAGTGTTGTCAAACATCATCACAACACATTCCAGTGTTGTCAAACATCATCACAACACATTCCAGTGTTGTCAAACATCATCACAACACATTCCAGTGTTGTCAAACATCATCACAACACATTCCAGTGTTGTCAAACATCATCACAACACATTCCAGTGTTGTCAGTATCGTCACAACGCTCAAGTGTTGTCAGACATCATCACAGCACATTCCAGTGTTGTCAGACATCATCACAACACTAAAGTATTGTCAGACATCACAGTAACACACAAGTGTTGTCAAACATCGCCACAACACACAAATGTTGTCAGCCATCATCACAACACACCTCGAAGAAAGGCAAGAAAGTGTAAAATTTAAAGAATACCTGCAACTTTCTTTCCTCAAGTGCCAGTAAAAAAAAACTAAATATAAACATATATGAAAATATAAAAAGTAAAACTATATTACAAAAACATAAACTAGCAGTGACTTGCTTAGCATGGGCCACTAGGCGGCTTGCTATAGTACCTGTCAGTCACATTCTTGCTTCTACTAGTGTGCACCGCCTCTACTGTCCTCAAGATTTTCTGCATCTTACATTTGGCGGTATAAAAACATAACGAATGAGCACTGAAGCAAGCCTACTGGCCCAAGCTAAGAAGGTTTAACTCACACACCCACTGATGTGTACTTCCCTAACTTATTTTTAAAGCTACTCATACTTCAGCTTCATATTGTAACAGACTATGGAGCTGAACTGTTCTCCAGACTGCAGGGCTGACCACCTCAAAAGTACCCCGTCGAGGGTGAAGGACTGATTACATATTTACACCTCCACTGTCTCTGAGGTGATTACCTCATCTTTTGTATAGTTCTAATGTCTTCTAATTATGTCCTTGAATTTGCTTTGATAAAGCCAATGGTTGACGAAACGTCTACAGTAAAGATACCCAAATGTTGCAAGTGCCTAATTTTCACCTTGTCTGTAGTGTATACCATTCATGTACAACTTGCTCGATTGAATAAGCGAAACGTTTCGCATTATAGAAGCCTAATTGTTGTACATACCTTAGTTAACTGCTTGTCGGTATTGTATATCACTGCTATACTCAGTGTGATAGATAGTTTAAGAGCTGTAATCCATAATCTAGCATGTTAATTTAAGCAAGATTACAGTGCTAGGTTAGCTTTGGAGAAAAATGTATAACTGACAACGAACATATAACTGACAACATTACAGTGCTAGGTTAGTTTCGGTGAAAAATGTATAACTGACAACATTACAGTGCTAGGTTAGTTTCGGTGAAAAATGTATAACTGACAACATTACAGTGCTAGGTTAGTTTTGGAGAAAAATGTATAACTGACAACATTACAGTGCTAGGTTAGTTTCGGTGAAAAATGTATAACTGACAACATTACAGTGCTAGGTTAGTTTTGGAGAAAAATGTATAACTGACAACATTACAGTGCTAGGTTAGTTTCGGTGAAAAATGTATAACTGACAACATTACAGTGCTAGGTTAGTTTTGGAGAAAAATGTATAACTGACAACATTACAGTGCTAGGTTAGTTTCGGTGAAAAATGTATAACTGACAAAATATATATATACTTATATCCTGGGAAAGGGAGAGGATGGAAGGTAATTTTTATATTATTTATTTCTACCAATAAGTTACATTATGGAACGTTTAAAGTATATTTTTAATTACATCTGACCTGTCTGCGGCTTTTTTTTTTATAAGAAACAGTGAAATTTCATTCTATTTTAATTCAGGGAAGTTCTTTATTCGTACAGGTCACATAGCTCCTGGGAATGGGAAGCATTCATGTCCAATCCAAGGAAGGGGAGCATAAGTCCTACTCTCTGGACGAAAAGTCCAGAGAGTAGGACTTGCATCGAAGCACTTCGTCAGACGGGAGACTGAATAAATTAGCATGCAAATTTAGTTTCTGTTCCATGTCTTTTGTTTTGCCCAGTAAAAACCTTCAGTCAGGAGCTTGAAACTAGATGGCAGATAAATAGCCAATAGCTGCTTTCGTAAACAAAAGATGTCAGAAACATTAGTCTGGTATTGATGAATAAGACTTGCAACAACTGGATATTTTTATTGTTGAAACGTTTCGT